GGTGCTACGACACTGGTCCGATTCACAGCAGGAGGAGGTCCTGCTGGTCCAGCGGCCTCTGGGACCCACTGTTGTAGCCACTTGCCAGTCAGCTAACTGAGATTCTTCCTCATTTTTGCTGAATCTCCTCCTGTGAAATTAACTGCCTCTAAAAACCCACTGGAGGGTCACCTAGGGGTTGTTTCCGACTCTACAGCACCCAACACCAACAACTCTAATAAGCGTGAAGTCCTTCTCCAAAGGAGGGTCCCCTCCACACCCCACATACCTGGTGCTTCTATCCTACCGAGCTGTCCTTTCTCCCATGTCTATCTGTATTTTAACTCAACTTATCTTTGCTATTTACTCTCTGTGAACACCTATGGTGCTTGGCATAGCACCTTGTGTGGACTCTCCCCATGGACACTTGTTGAGTGAGGTCCAGATGAATGCAATGGCCTATATTCCCATGATGCTAAGAATTTCCCAAAGGAACAGCCAGCCCTGCAGGAAAGAACTTATTTACAAATCTGGAACTGAATGGGGACAGTCAGAGCAGGGACACTTTCCAGGACACACGGTGCCAGCAGTGATGTCCAGGGAAGTCCCAACAAGGGGGAGCCACTTACATGACGGTGCCTGTGCTCTTCCGGCGAATTTCAATCCCAAAGGGATTCTCCTTGATGACGACATCATAGAGCCGACCTGCAGGGGTGCTGGACGGCACCCCAGGTATATTGAGAGGCACGGGGACTTCATAACGGCTGGTGCTGGGATCATAAATCTAGGGCAGGAGGAAAGACATTTTATGCAAACATAACCCCCATCAGGACTGTGATGTCTTTAGCATAATCTGAATGTTTTGTTTGCTATCTTTAAGATTGGGGTACCAAGGATTTAAGAGGTGTGTTTAAGAAAAAAGGTCTGATTTGACATTTTATTCAAATCAGTCTCATTTTAATAAAAAGGCCTGGATAGCACATTCGTATTGAGAGTGTTGCAGAATCAGTTTACTGTTTATGACTATGTGTCCTACGTTGGTGTGGGTGTGGAAGGTACGGAAATACGTCAGGACATTTCTGAATTGGAAAAGTGCCACCTCTCACACACTGCAAATTCTATTTGATTGTAATAATCTTCTGGTCCTTGCTAAAAACAGGAACTCATTTCATTTGCTGAGTACTGCGATCACCTGACAGAGAATTCAGAGGGAAGGCTGCGCTTTCCAGGTCTCGCAAGCTTCTTGGGAAGGATGTCACATTACTCACGACGTTTCGACTGCTCTCTGTCACTGGAAAACGTTACAATTTCTGCCTCTGATAGGTTTCCACCTCACACAGGTTCAGCCTTCACCGTCGCGGCTGCATGTTCCCACCTGACTCCATACTGAAAATACTGAGCTAGTGCCATAATGGTTATGTGATTGGCTGTTACCTGAAAGGTTGAAGGTTTGAATCCATCAAGCACTCCATGGGAGAAAGAGAAAACATTCTGCTTCCGTAAAGACTGAAGTCTTTGAAACCTTATGGGCTGTACTACCTGTGGGGTTGCTATGAGATAGAATCAAGACTTTGGCAGTGAATTTTAGTTTTGTAAATTCTTTTTAAACAATCGTTTAAAAAAAGTCTCCTATAGAAGGTAAGAGAAAATGAATCACCTGTCTGGTTGATATTTACTAATGTAAAGTGATACAGTTCCCAATTTCACATTAGAACTATCAAGTATTCTGGGATTCCCCTTCTTCTCAGAGTCAGCCACAGTTTGTTGTGATGCACACAGTCTAATGCCTTTGCTTAGTCAATGAAACACAGATAGACATTCTTCTGGTATTCTCTGCTTTCAGTCAAGATCCATCTAACATCAGCAACAATATCCCTAGTACCACGACCCCTTCTAAACCCAGCCTGGACTTCCAGCAGTTCTCTGTTGATGTGCTGTTCCAGTCGTTTTTGGATAATCTTCAGCAGAATCTTGCTTGCATGTGATATCAATGATATTGTTCGATAATTTCCACACTCAGCTGGATCACCTTTCTTTGGAATGGGAACAAATATAGATCTCTTTCAGTCACTTGGCCAAGTGGTTGTCCTCCAGATTTCTTGACACAACTTGGTGAGCACCTCTAGGGCAGTAACTGTTAGTTGAAATACATCAATTGGTATACCATCAATTCCTGAGGCCTTATTTTTTGCCAATTCCTTCAAAGCAGCTTGAACTTCTTCTTTCATCACCATAGGCTCTTGTTTATATGTTCCAAATTGGGAAAGGTGTATGCTAGGGATGTGTCCCATCTCCATACCTTTTCAACCTGTATGCAGAACAGATTGTTCAGGAGGCTGAGCTGTATGAGAAGTGTGGCATCAGGATTGGAGGAAGATTCATCAACAACCTGTGTTATGCAGATGACACAACCCTGCTTGCTGAAACTGAGGAGGACCTGAAGTGCTTGCTGCAGAAGGTCAAGGACTGCAGACTTCAATATGGATTGAGGTTCAATATCAAGAAGACAAAGATTCTCACCACTGGGCCAATTGGCAGCAACAGGATGGATGGTGAAGAGATTGAGATTGTTAACAGCTTTAGTTTGTTTGGCTCCACAATCAACACTCTTGGCACCAGCATCCAGGAAATTAAAAGACGTATCGCGATGAGAAAGTTTGCTGTTAGGGACCTCTATACAGTACTGATAAGCAATGCTGTTACTCTGGAGACTAAGGTGCACCTGATACACGCCACGGTCTTTGCAATCACTTGCTGCTATCAGAGAGCTATACAATGTCTAGGGATGATAGAAGAATTGATGCCTTTGAGCTGTGGTGCTGGAGAAGAGTATTGAATGTATCGAGGACTGCTAAGAGAACAAACAGGTTCATCCTAAAAAGGATTAAACCAGGCTGCTCCTTGGAGTCAAAGATTCTGAAGCTTCGTCTGACATACTTTGGACATGTTGCAAGGAGGGACCAATCCTTGGAGAAGGATATCATGCTTCGGAGGGTAGAGGGACGACACAGGAAGGGAAGACCCTCTATGAGGTGGATTGATTCAGTGACTGGGGTACTCGGGATGGGTGTATCGGAGGCAGTGCGACTGGCACAGGATAGAGCAGGGTTTAGGGCTGTTGTACATGGGGTCGCTATGAGTCACACGTGACTTGATGTACATAGCAACAACAACAAGGTGATACATAATGACTGAAACTAGTAGTGTTTCTGAAGCAGGACAGTCTCCTGGAGCAGACACGGGCTGAGTCCTGAAAGCTTAGCCACTTCAACTAAAGTGAGACAGGAGATAAACTCATCCTGGACACAGAAGCAGCAAGCACCAGGGCTCAGAGCAGTGATGGGGCCGAGGGGCGGAGAGTGGAAGGCAGGAAGAGCAGGAGCAGGAAGGGGTGGGAGTGAAGGCTGGAATCCCACGTAAGGGGGTCATGTCTATCCCACCGTGTGTCCTCGTGAGATGTGGGGCTCTGCTGAGGACGCAGCATCCTGTCTGCAGTTGAGAAGGGGACGGAAGGCACAACCCAGGTGACGACAGGAGGACAGAGCCTTTTAGACAAACCACACTGGTCTGACCTGGGTCCTCATGGCACACTGACTAAGCGTGCGGCTGCTGACTGAAAGGCCAGCGGTTGGAACCCACCAGCTGCTGTGTGAGACAGCAGGGACCGTCTGCCTGTGTGAAGGTTCCAGTTTGGGAGCCCGATGCGGCAGTTTTACAAACCCTTCAGGTTGTTACAGGTCGGAATCAACTCACCGACACCCAACAACAACCACTGTGACTATTAGCAGGATGTGAGGGAGCTGGTGATGCCTCCTTGCTCCTTAGACCACCCACAGCCCTGTGCTTACCTTAAACTGCAGCATGTCATTCTGATGGTAGGTGACAGCCAGGCGGAGGGAGGCCACGGGAGTTGAAGGCAAAGCATTAGCATAAAGAGAGGTCTTTAAGGTGATGTCAGCGGTGGCCCCCTGTGTACTGTACTGGACATTACCAACAGAGTACAGATCGGTGACAAAATAGCAGAACGGGACCCCCGGCGTGCTGGATTCCTGCAAGAAGAGAGAGGTCAAGGTCATGATCAGCATGTGGTGCTAGAAGCCACTGGAGAGACCAGGGTGGACAAGAGATTTTACAGGGAGGGAGAGGAAGACAGTACACCCTCATTTGCTCTGATGTCACCTGGTGGTGACATCAGAGCTCAGCTGTGACAGTGGTTAAAGAGCTCAGAACTAATTAAGGGATTGACAGTTGGGACTCCACAGGTGTTCCATGGAAGAAAGATGCAGAGGTCTGTATCCTCCAAGATGACAGCCTTGGAGACCCCAGGGAGCAGTTATCCTGTCCTAAGGCCTGCTGGGACTTGGAATTGAGTCAATGACAGTGCGTGGGTGGGTGGTGACCTAGCCAAACCCAATCGAAAACCACTGCCGTGATTTACTTCAGACTCAGCCACTCAGTAGACAGAGTTATCCCTGTGAGTTTCCAAAGCAGATTGTCACGTATTTCTCCTGCAGAGAACCGATTTAAAACCCTTTGATTTCCTGGTCTCTGGGAAAATTATTTATAAAACCTCCCCTCTCCTGTCCCCACCCAGCCTTCATACCCAGATTAAGGTCATGGTCCCTGGAAAGGCCCCTCCTGCAGGTCTGCAGCGGGCGTGCCGTGGTGATAGAGTCACATCCATCAACCTCATGCGTGCACTCACCTCCCAGACGCAGCCCCGGGCCTCACAGTTCTCCTTGGATGCACCTTGCGCATCAGGGTAGCAGTCAATCTTCTCTACATCGCTCACGTTCTTCAGACTCCACTCCACCGTATATGCCTGTCCCAGAGCCAGGTCAAGGCCCGTGATAACGGCGACCTACAGCAATGAGAGTGACAAGGACATTCATCTTCTGCCCCAAACCTTGTAAGTTGTTAAAGTTTTCTGGGACAGGAAACAGAAATCAACCTGACTCCCCTCAGTCCACGTGCCAGACTCCTGGAAGGAGTGAGGAGAGAGCTCGGGGGGAGATACACTCTGGCAACTGTGTCATTCTTGAACACAAACGTTGGACTCAGGTCAGGCATAACCCCTCATCCACCATCACTGCTTTTCTTCCTTTCCTGGCCTTCTTCCTCTTGTTTTCCTCGGATGCTTTTTCTCCACTTCCCCACGTAGCATCACAAACGGCAGCCCCAAGCAAGAATGCTCAACCACCTCCGTCAACCTTGAACTTTACATTCTGCAGATTCTACAGTGTGTTTGGAGTTGTTGTTGGATGCTGCTGTGTCAGCTTCAATTCATAGTGATCCCTCGTATAATGGATGAAATCCTGCTTCATCCTGAGTCATGGTCAAGGTCTCTGCCAAACATGCTGAAGCCCACTTCATCAATTCATCTTGTCGAAGGTTTTCTTCTTCTTCTTCTCTGATCTACTACTTGACTGCATCTTTCTCAGAGAACTGGCCCTTCCTCAAAGCAGGCTTAACTCATGTGATAGAAGATCTCACCGCCCTCCATTCGGGCTTCTTTATTGAATATAGATTTGTTCATTTTTCAGACAATGTCCACGGTATAGTTAACATTCTTCACTCACACCACAGCACCAAATTCAAAGCCATCATTCTTCCTTCGCTGCTGTTGTTGTTTTATACCATGGAGTTGGAGCCAACCCACAGCTGATCCTCCAGCAGGTTTTCAGAGGCAGTTAATCGCGTGGGAGGAGATTGCCCATCCTCCCACAAAGCAGCTCTTAGCCTCATACCTCATGCCTTTGGGATTGCAGCGCTGTGTCTTACCAGCAGGCCACCAGCGCTCTTCCTTTGTCATCCTTATTTGTGGTCCAAATTTCACTTGCAAGAGAAGCAACCGAGAGTGCTGTAGCCGCTGTCAGTAGTATCTTCTCAGTCACGTCTGTGCCCTTCAACACTCTCAGAGTTCCCTTGGATTAGATTTCTCCAGTGAAAATATATTTATTTCTGTCCTCTTGGTTCTACAGACACTGATGATGATTCCAAGTAAAATGAAATAGTTGGCAACTTCAAGTTTTTCTCCCTTCATCGTGCTATTTTTTGTCCACTTGTGAGAAATTTACTTTTCATTCTATTCAAGTGTAATCCATAATGAAGGCTATAAGCTATATTCACCATTAACTATTTCAAGTCCTCTTTGTTTTCTACCAACAAAAGTGTCCCATTTATATATTGAAGGTTGATAAAGAGTCGTAATGAGAGGATACAATCCTGACACACAACTCTCTAATTTTGATCACTGAAATACGCCATTATTTTGTTGTAATGATTTCTCTTTGAGATAGATAGATAGATAGATAGATAGATAGATAGATAGATAGATAGAGACAGAGAGATAGAGATAGATTCGATAGGGGAGCTAGAGATCTAGATGATAGAGAGAGATACATAGATTACACTACATCAGCACAGTTGAGAAAGTTTTGATGTTCCCATTTATCACAATGCTGTGCATGATCTCTTATGACCCGTACGTTTGAATGGCTTTGCATTGCCAATAAAACATAACCATTTTCCTGTATTCTCCACTTTCAGTCAAGATCCATCTGACATTGCCAATGGTATCCCTCATCGAACGTCCTCGTTTGAATCCAGATTAAGTCCAGCTGAATACAGGTTCTACACCAGGCAAACTAAAAGCCATCATTGCCTATGTGCTATTTATGATTTTCGGCCCCCTTTTTCTACACAGGCAGACCTCAGAGGAATTGTGGATTCAGTTCTTGATCACTGCAGTAAGGTGGATGTTACAATAAAGTGAGTAACTGTTGGTTTGTTTTGTTTGTTTGTTTCCCCTGATGGCCTAGTGGTAAGAAGCTGTACTGCAATGCCAAAGTCCCATCGTTTGAACACACCAGCTGCTCCTTGCCTCCAAGCACTCTGGTCCCACTTTCCCCAAGACATATCTACTTGTTGTTTGGCAGTTGAAGGGATAGCTAGTGTTCTTCTTCTGTCGTTCTTATTCATTGTCCAGCTCTTAGAGACATGGCAAATGATTAGAACGATCACCCACATATCACTAATATTGTTGTCAGCACAAAAGTTCAAATGTGATCAAACAGAATACTGAATTTACTGACACAAAGCTGTGCTGCAACCCTGGAGACATAAAATTCGCCTCCACCAGCTGCTCTATGGGAGAAGGATGGGCAGTCTCCTCCTGTGTGCTTAAATACCTCTGAGCACTTGACAGAGAGTCAGCTATGTAGACAGTACATAGCAACAACAACAATGAATTTAGTTTATTCTCCCCAGATTTTGAAGATCAGTCAAAATCTGTGCTGATCCAGCAGTTCCTCGACTCTGACCATTTGGGGAACCGGTAGGAAGGAATATATGGAAACCGGATTCTTCAATATGCTGAGATACCAGGGGAATGGATTATAAACTCCTTTGTAATTCTCTATGCTGAGCTATTGTCATATAATAAAATAAATAAGTAGCCTTGGTGGCACAGTGGTTAAGTGCTCACCTGCTAATCAACTAGAGAGGAAAGGTTTGAAGACACCATTTGGTATTTGGTCCATAGCAGAGAGACGCAGCTGTTTCTATCCACAAATATTGCAGCCTGAGAAACATACAGGGTAGCTGTGTTCTCTGCAGTGGGGTCAAAACTGGCTTGACAACAATGAGTTTTAATGAAATATATATCTATTGACTAGGTTTATGAAAACTGCTGTTTTGAAATATTTCTTAAAAACATATATAGTGGCATGAGTGTCTATTTAACTCAATATTGTTAGAAAACAATTTGCTTTAAAGTCTTAACTGAGATTTTACTCCAGAGTCTGCTTTGCTAGCGTCAGCCAGCAGCTGGCAGGTCCTCTTTCCTGTGGTCCCGATGCCCCATCCCCACTATATGCTCTTGTCCACGCCCATCACAAGCAACTCTTGTCAGGACAGCAGATGGAGGCAGAGAAGGAAAAGGCACTTGACCTCTGTGCAGTTCCTCAGAGCTCTTACTCATCCCAGCTGTCACTCTTCTTCCTATTTTTCTATCCCACCTTTCAGACCTCCCCATTGCTAGCCTCAAAGTGCACACCAGAAGCTCCAGAGCCCACACAATTTGCAAAAGAGGTTCCCCTTGAAGCTACCAAGACTCTTGAGAAGACATGTCAACAAACTGAGATTTTACCTGGAGGTTATGATCATATGTGACATTAGGAGAAGCCTGAACCGGGGCGTTGTTGTGCTTCACTATAACATTGGTAGGTTCCTTAGTCCCTAGGATTTTAATCTCCTTAAAGGATAAGTTATTGGAGTCAATGTAGCCAGAATTCAAGATCTTCACATCCAATTGGTTCTGTAAAACAAATAAGCAAGAGCGTTACCAGTCCTGCACAAACATCAAGTCACCCAGACATCCATTTACGGCAAATGGCCAACTACATACCAGCAAGTAACCCATATAGCCACCCAGACCAGTAGACCAGCCCAATCAGAGAACGTCAAACCACTCACATAACCTTCACAGACCAGGTGTTCACTAAAAAAACTTCATGTCACTCATATACCCACCACAGGTCAGGTGGCAACCACAGAGTCTCTAGTAACCTGTTGTTTTTGCTGTTGTTGTTGTTATTGATTGCCTTTACGTCGAGCACGACTCATAATGACCCTATGAACAAAAGGTCTGAAGCCCCTCTACAACTACAACATTTATTAAAGTTCACAGAGTTTCCAGAGGCATGTTGTTTAGGAAGTAGATGCCACTCCTGCTTCCAACTAGTAACCAAAACTTGAGAATATCAACGCTGGAAAAGACACCACAAAAATGTATTTCTCTCTGTTGGTGCATGCTAGAGAAACACAACTATACTTTATAATACTTTTAACAGTGTTCAAAAATCAGGACCGCATGTATCTAAGCACTCATCACATGTTCATAAGCACATGTAAATAAACACATTTCAAAAGTGCATTTAGAAATAACTACAGCTTTCATTTGCCCATACCGGATAGTAAATATGGATGATTTCATTGCTGGGAGTCCTTTTGCCCACATGAATTTTTTTTTCACAGTCAAATATTTTAATGAGAAAAAGACAACAGCCCAATCAGTATGTTCTAGATATAAATAATATCAAATTAATAATAAAACTTAATTATAAAGAAGTAATAATAAAATATAAATAATTAAAAATAAATAATAAAGTTTAATTTAAAATAATAAAAATTAAATAATATAAACGGACACTTTGTAAAAAAAGTGACAATAAAAGCAGCTCATAAAATATGAAGAAAATGAAGGGAGGTCTGATGGCCTAGGGGCAAGAAGCTGCACTGCAATCCCAGAGATACGCAGGTTAAATCCACCAGATGCTCAGATGCTGTCCTGGAGAAGGAGGGACAATCTCCTCCTGCACCTGTCAGATCCGATTTGATATTACACACACACAAAATAATTTAAAACTTCTAAAAATATGGAAAAAATGTATCTGATTTCTTATAAGATAAAACTGTGTCATGAAACTATACTAATATACCATTTTACCTATCAAAACTATTTATTTTCTATGTTTGCATTTTATATATGAGAAATATAGTAAACACAAGGATATTTATTACAGCTTTTTTTTACAATGACCTCTGTTGGAAGATATTAGCCAATTTATTATACTGAAAAGTCACATGGATTTTAATCACTAGGAATTATGTTAGAAATTGAAGTTGGTGTACCTGTCTTCAGAAATGTCTATGAAGCTGCAAATAAAATGTTATGTGCGCACACACCCCAACACGTGTAGAGCTAATGATCAGATGAAAGTTCATTCACAATATCCATGAAGGGATGCTACTCACCCGCGAGACAGAAAACTCACAGAAAAGATACGCGTTGTTGGCCACGGTATCTGAAAGCCAGAGGAAGACCAGTCAGACTCTGTTGGCCACAGAAGGACGGAGGACCCACTCCCTTAGAAGCCACAGCTTGAGAATGACAGGATTATGACAAGAATTTCCAAAGCCAAGGTACTAATTTCCTTTCCCTGTCTCCCATAACTTTAGGAAAATTCTCTTCCATGTGCTTCCAATACTTATATTTCAAGCAAATGTGTTTACTAAACTTAAGATATAAAATTTGTTAGTACATTGATAAAATGAAAAACACCCTTAAAGCACGACTTAATGTATGTTGTTATTATATGCTGTCAAGTGCCTTGTGACTCATAACAACCCTATATACAACAGCTCTAAACCCTCTCTGTCCTGAGCCAACTTGTCTCTGACACACCTATCCCCATTACCCCAGTCACTGAATCAATCCATCTCAGCCAGGGTCTTCCTCTCCTGCATGTCCCTCCACCCTCTCAAGAATGATGTCCCTCTCCAAGGACTGGTCCCTCCTTACAACATGCCCATAGTATGTTAGACAAAGTTTCAGAATCCCTGGCACCAAGGAGCAGTCTTGTCTCACCCTCTCTAGGATGAACCTGTTTGTTCTCCTAGCAGTCTAAGGTATGTTCAATATCCTCCAGCACCATAGCTCAAAGGCACAAATTCTCCTTCTGTCCTCCCTAGCCATTGTCCTGCTTTCTGTCATAGCAAGTAATTGCAAAGATCATGGCCTTGATCAAGCACACTTTAATCTCAAGACTGACATCGCTGCCCTGCAGTACTCTTGGAGAGGTCCCTGACAGCAGACTTTCCCAACACAATTCGTCTTTTGATTTTCTGGCTGTTGGTACCAAGCATGTTAATCAGGGAGCCAAGCAAACTGAAGCTGTTAACAATCTCAGTCTCTTCATTGTCTGTCTTGATGCTGCCAATTGGGCCAGTGGTGAGAATCTTTGTTTTATTGATGTTGAGCTTCAATCCATATTCAAGTCTGCAGTCATTGACCTTCTGCAGCAAGCACTCAGGTCCTTCTCAGTTTCAACAAGCAGTGTTGTGTCATCTGCACAGTGCAGGTTGTTAATGAATCTTCCTCCAATCCTGATGTCACATCCTCCTTATAGAGCCCAGCCTCCCAGATAATCTGCTCTGCATGTAGATTATAAAGGTGTGGTGATAGGACACATCCCTGGCATACTTCCGTCTCAATTTTGAATCATGCAGTGTTTCCGTATTCTGTTCTCATGACTGCCTCCTGGTCCAAGTATAGGTTTTACAGAAACACAATCAAATATTCTGAGATTCCTATTCTTCTCAGAGTTTGCCACAGTTTGTTGTGATCCACACAGTCAAATGTCTTTGCATAGTCAATGAAGCACAGATAGACATTCCTCTGGTACTCTCTGCTTTTGGCCAAAATCCATCTAACATTAGTTATAATATGCCTAGTATCACAGCGTCTTCTAAACCCAGTTTCTGCTGAAAATCATCCAAAAATGACTGGAACTGTCCATCAACAGAGAACTGCCAGATGTGAAGATCTGATGAATATAGTCTGAGAAAGTAGAGAACCCAGGAAAAGGAGGGATGCCTTCAAGGAGGGGGACTGGCACTTGGCCCGGCCAATGGATCGAAGCATGGCCGTGACTATGAAGCTGAATAGGATGAAGCAGTTTCGCTCTGTTGTACATAAAGTCACCGTGAGTGAGAGCTAACTCAGCAGCATCTAACAGCACTCAAAAAGGTGGAAATCCCGGCACAAGAGCATTCTCGTTTCCTCACTGGAATGAACACATCTTTCATATAAGATCATAAGCACATTTGGAGAAATGTAAACACTGAAAGACAAAGACAATCCTGCAAATACTCTGTTCAGGTACTGCCTGACAACAAAAGACAATATATTTCTATTTCTAGAGGAGGGTAGAATCCTGTGTGTTAGAGATGAGTTTTTCCTCCATCTGTGGTTCCTCCAAGGGGCACGGTAATACAGGTAATGTTGTTGTTGTTGTCGTTGCTGCTGATTGCCTTTAAGTCAAGCACGACTCATAACGACCCTATGAGCAAAAGGCCTGAAGCCCCTCTATAACTATTGACATAATACAGTAGCATAAATAAACAAAATTCTTTCTTTTTTAAAACCTTGCTGAGTGGAATATCTCAGTCACAGAAGGACAAATACTGTGTAGCGCCACTATTGTAAAACGGGACTGACATCAGGGTTGAGGGGGGAGACTGAGAAAGATGGGTTAAATAATGTATAATGCCTTGAAACAGATGAGGGAGGAAACTGTTTAAAAGGGATATGTGATTAGGTATTATTGTCATGACAGGAGTCCAGAACGAAGGCTGCACAGTGGAGTGGACCTGGGGGGAGGGATTGTATAACAATGAAAGAATTTTCCTTTTACTTTTCAAAGAGAAGAGTGAACTGGGGAGGGGAGGGTTGGGCAAGGAGAAAAGTGCAATAATGAGTGAATGGAAATCCAAAGTCTCTGTAAATTTTCATTAAAATTAATAATAATGATTTAAAAACCTTGATAACATTTTATATATATTTTCCTTCCACATGTATGTTGTTTTATTGGGTAAAATTGAGCTGGTTCTGACTCCTAACACGTCCATGTACAATAACATACAACACTGCCTGATCCTGCACCAGCCTCACCACTGTTGCAATGTTTGTGTACCTTGTTGCAGAAATCAGTCCATCTTGATGGTCTTAATACACACATACATATGTATTTATGTTTCTATTTATATGCATACATATAAAAAACCTTCATCACATAATGCAAAAAAATCATATCAGAACTATGATGGAAATCACAACGTAGAATTGTCACTAGGTAGAAGGCAACAGCTCGGGGAGCGTAATGATTTACATGTTGAGCTGCTAACGGAAAGGTCATTGGATTGAACACACCAACTGCTCCTTCGGAGATGAGGCACTGTGGGCCTGTGACATCACGGCCAAGGAGACCCTACGGGGCCGTTCTCTCTCTAACAGGGTCTCTATCAGCGTGAATTGACTCAGTGGCAGCAAACTTCTGGTTTACTGTATCCTCTACCAGTACACCTGGGCAGTACAATCCAAACCTCAGCTGATGACCAGCAGATGTGAAGGACCATGGGCCAAAGCTGCAGGAACAGCAGCACTGGGATGCAGGGCTCACCTCTGCTGTCTCCATCATCCCAGAAGAGTTCCCCTTTGGCTTCTTTGTTCTCATCCAGGGCAATGATAAGACCCAGAGGGTTCTGGCGACTGTGGGAAACCAGAATTATGTCAGACAGTAAGAACTGGGACTCTGAGACCATTGCTATATGAGCTGTGCCCATCAACTTTCAGGTGAGAGAAGCTACTGGTAAAAGATGAATCTGCCTTTTTCCTAAGTATGAAGGCAAAAATCAATGGGAGTATCTTTCTCTAGTATTAGTTAGAAAGCCTCAAATACGCTGTTGTTGTTGTTGTTGTTGTTGTTGTTGTTGTTGTTGTTATGTGCCGTCGAGTCGCCTGCGACTCACAGCGACCCTATGTACAACAGCCCTAAACTCTGCTCTCTTCTGTGAATAAAAAGTTGAAGTAGGAGTCAAGAATATGAGCATCGGAATTAACATGGACATGCCAGAGAAATTATGCGGCACTGCCGAGAATACACGGCTAGGAAAGAAGGAAGAGTCAGCTCATAGCTAGTGTGTTTACTTGTGTTAGAGACGCTAACAGAGACAAAAGGGCCCTGGTGGCACAGCGAGTTCAGTGTTGTACTGTCAAACTAAAGGTCAGGGTTTCACACCCACTAGAAACTCTGCAAGACAAAGAGGACGTGGTCTGCTCCTGCAAAGACCCACAGCCTTGGAAACCACAGGAAAGTCTACTCTGTCCTAAAGGGTTGATTCGGCCCAAAATTGACTTGACGTCGCTGTTTTTAAAACTTCTGAAGGAATCCTGAGGGTGCAGTCTGAATGATGGGCTGCTAATCAAAAGGCTGGTAGTTCAAACCCACCAGAGGCTCAATAGGAGAAAAGGCCTCGTGTTCAACTACTGAAATGACTAGAGCCCGGGAAATGCTACATACAGCCAGCTCTACTCCAGCCTGGAGGACAAACCACGAGCAAGTCCACAGCATGTGGCAGCAGTAACCACAAAAACACCAGGTAATAATGGTTCCAGAGGCAGCGTAGAAAACAGCCAAAATAGCATCATAAAACATTCCAAAAATCAGCTAAGAGGCAGGAAAGTGTGAGCACAGCTGGACTTATAAGGGTCTTCCATTTGGGTAACATTTTGTAAGTAAGTTCTGATATAATTCAAATACCTTTGTGGTGGTGGTGCATTACCAGTATACTTATAATTTTTTATTTATAATACTTATATTATTTATAATACTTATTTGTCTTTTGAGAGTGATTCTACAGAGGTTTGTTTTCTGGTTCTGGTGAGGATTAGGGTAGAATGTTTACTCACCATTGCGTGTGAGTTTATTTCATTCAGCCTCATTTGGGCCCTTGGGGCAGCCCTCTGGCCTGGTTTTAATTGTTTCTGGTCATTCTTCTAAGTGGTATATAGCACTGGTCTGTGTATTTGCTGCACAGAGGTAACTGTGGTTGCTGTGATGCTAAACACTGTGACACTAATGTGTCAAATGTGTTAATGGTTACCCATGGTGGACAGTGTTTGGTGGAGCTCCCTGATTAAAACAAGTTTGGAAGCAGGAGTAACATCCACTTCCAAAATAGCTTGTCTCCAGAAACTCTATGGACTTGGAGAAATGATGAAAGTGATACAAGTGCTCAGGTCTTTCATTCATGAGCACATTATGAATCATCTACTACTCAACTGCACTTAACAACAACAACATAAGTATGAAAACGTTAGCAAGTTATGCATAGTACATAATCCTAATGATAAATTAGTATAAGTTATGCATAGTACATAATCTTAATGATAAGTTAAAAGTAAGAAAAGCAGTCATAAGTGTGGTTTGGCATAACTGAAATACTAATGTTTGAGCTAATATTATTAATTAGTAACATTTTATGACCTGCAAACATGTGAGTTCATGTTGTTAATACTCAAGTTAATCTTGAACTTAATATCTAAGTCAGGGACAATCTGTATACAAAATGACCAGAAACTTGGAATTGACCCCATGTCTTCTCACTGCTGGGTAAGTTGAGGAAAGTTCTAGGTGAGGGGTCGTTAAGAAAACACTGGGCCTAGATGCGTATGGAGCAGAGGTAGGGGATTCAGGAGTGGCCGGAGCAAATGGAACGTGTGCTAATTGCCTCCACGAACAGCAGCCTCCAGTGTCATGAGACCAGGACTGCGTCGTGCCTGTCGCCTTTACTGGACGTCTTCTGAAGACGCTGCTGAAGGATCCTGATCAAAGAAACAGATGAGAACCTTGCCCTGACCTGGGGCTCAGCCTCGTGACCTCCATGCTCGCGCCCATTGTTACAGCCACGGGCCGTTCCTTCTGACTGCGGGCCTTCCTCTCTCTGCTGACTTTCTACCTCTCCAGGGAAGTCACAGTAGTTCAGCCTCATTAATAAGATATCTCTGTCTCACTTGCTCCTCTCATGTCACCTTGGCTTCGGGGTGACCAGGAGACGGAACAGGACTGCCCAGCACGGGGAGCCTCAGCCCCTGGTACCTGGCCACAGTGGTGGTGCTGGGCTGCTGGGTGGGGAAGATGTGGCCTCCTCGCAGATGCAGCCCAATTTTGTCTTCAGGAAGCTCCATCTCTACCTGCTGCTTCCTCCACTCGACCTGGGCGCCCTGGTGTGCAGGTAAAGAAGGACAGGGACTGATCAGTGAGTCCCTCCCCAGCGATGCCCACACCCTCTCAGCAACAGCGCTCCTGCTTCCATCACTGAAATGAGTCCCAAACACCAGAAGGAAGAACATATGGGGCGGGGGTCAGAGGTCTGAAGGAGGGGGTGGTAGCTGAGGCCATGAGTGAGCGGAGGCTCCAGAAATGGGAGCAAAGGTGGAAGCAAATGAGGACACTTCGGAGTAGACTTTGCCCCTTAGCAGAGAAGCCTGTGAGGCACCTGATAAGAAAACCGTGCAGGTCAGCAAAAGGAAAAGTCTCTGCATGGAGAGTCCTAAGTCTCTAGGAAAGGTGTTCCCTCTTATGTTCCTTGTTAGCCCTAAGTTATCCTTGTTCCAGAATCCTGATCTATGCTGGCCCAGAATGCTGACCTTAGGACAGACCTGTGTCAAACAAAGCATATTTTGGGGATTAGATATACTTGTAAACAACTGTTAAGACCTGGGCTGACTCTATGACAGACGTGGAAAAGGATTACGAGTTATGTCTGCGCTTTCTAAAAAAGAATTCCTACAGTCATTCTGGAAATAAGTGTTCTGTTTTTTCCTTAAGAAAAACGCTGTGTAAATTGCTAGTTTGCTGGATAATAAAGCTCTTAGACTCGATGGCGTTCTAAGACCCTTGCTCTCTGAACTTGTCTCTTTGTTCTTTTTCCTAAGCCGCCCAAAGCCTCCTGCAGAGACACCTGGGTTGTTGAGCTAGATTCAGCAAGCCGTCCTGATCAAGCTTGACTGGCCAGCAGCCCTGCAGAGACCCTACACGGAGACCTAAGCTTATGTCTCAGTGCTGACTGACGTCTGTGAGGGGAGCTTGCTGGCCCTGTTCTGACCAAAGTCGGGGGCTTGGTTTATCCCGTCTTGCTCTGCTTAGGAAGTCCAGAAACTCCCACAGAACCCCTCATGCTTCCTTTCCCTAAAGTTCCCCTGTCCCACCAGCATCCACCATGAACCCAGAAGTTTACAGAAAGTCACAGCTACTTACCGTGTCGTACTCATACCAGATGGCGTCAGGCACATAGGCCAGCACTTTCTCTGCACCCTGAAAGCAGAAAGGATATAGTCCAAGTGGCCTGCCTCTGAGGGGGTGATAGAGTTCCCAGCATCCCCAGGGCACCCCCAAGCAGACACACGTCAACCTCGGGAGCACCACAGCTTCGCTGCAGATCACCGTGAGGCTGACACGGCCATGCAGTGGGCCGCTCAGGTGTGCTGGTTTCTCAGTGCACATGAACGTGAGGTTGACAGAATACCACAGTCGATGGAGTGTGCAATAACAGCTTGGCGAAAGGCTTGAACTATAGTGACAGAGATCAGAATGGGGCCCAGGTGTGAAAAGAGTGCATGATATTGGCAAAATGATGCCAACAGGTTTGCAGTGCACCGGGCACAAGCCTCAAGTCATGAAAAATGTGATGACGGTGAAACCCTGGCTAAGTGGGCACTCTCGGACCAGAGGGCAGAGGCGGCCTTTCTGGTCCCTCTTCCCAATTGTGCCTTTCCTCCAGGACAGAGACACAATTGACTGCATGAACAACAGATAATGCCAGAGGGCTTGGGGTCATAAAAACTTGGGGAATGTCATAATAGAAAAAAATCATAGTGTGACACTTGTTGAAGGCAAAGCCCCAGCTGCCAGGTTTGCAGGGCAAGCTCCCCACCCTCCCACAGCGCTGGGAAGCACTGCCATCCCTGTGTTCGCAGGTGAGGACCAGGTGGTACTTCGCTCCCAGTCACCCAGGTGGCAGAGGTGACATGCACTGTTCTTCCCACCTGTGTCACAGAGTGAGGAAGGATCAGCTTCCACCACCGGACAACCACCCCCACTGTCTTGGCCCCTCCTGTGCTGTCAGGACTTGGTCCCAAGCATTGGGGAAGAAAGCATGAGAAGCACCCGGCATCCGCCTCCAAAGTCACAGCACGCCCTGTTCAAGGCTGGCCTGGCCGTGGAGACGGAAATGGGCCCAACACACAGACGACAGAACCGTCTTGGGTGGGAAGCAGGAATGAAGCAGGGAGAGTGAGTAGGAAGACTTGCCTGGTCCAGTACTGGGGTGATGAGGAGACCAGGCCCCCACAGAAACTGCCGGTGGATACCCCAAGTGTTCTCATCATTGTAGAACCTGCAGACCAGAGGCAACCCTGAGGTTTGGAAGAGCGTCACTACCCTCGGTGCTCCAGCTTGACCTTGGAGCGCAGGCTGCCTGTTGGCCCAGCTTAGCATCATTCTGCGGCTCCCACTCGGCCACATCGCTGCCCCATCAACAGACCACAGCCTCAGCCTCTCCCCAGACCATGCAGCCTCCCACTAGCCCTCAGATGGGACAAAATGCCCACCCTAACAGCCACACTGGGAGACCTCGGGCTCGGGCTCTGCATGCGCTGCTCCTCAGAAGGTAAAGAAGGAAATTCTTCTAATTTCTTTCAATGAACAGGTAGGACATTAATTTGATCATGAAAATCACATAATTTAAGCTCTGACCATTTGCTTCTAGTGTACCTGCCTTTGAACAGAAAATCCCAGAAATAGCAGAATGACTGTTAGATAGATAGATAGATAGATAAGATTAGATAAACAGATAGATGAGATAGATAGATAGATAGATAGATAGATAGATGGATGGATGGATGGATGGATGGATGGATGGATGGATGGATGGATGGATGGATGGATGATAGATAGATAGATAGATAGATAGATAGATAGGTAGATAGATGAGAGAGAGAGAAACAGTGGAACTATATACTAAAGACCTTATAAGTCACACACAAGGAGTTTGGCTACATTTTTACAAGGAAAACCACGTATGCCCCTTTTCTTAAATTTAGAGATTCCCCATGGCTGCTAATAAGAATTGTGGAGTTTGGGAATCTTCTAGAATCTTCTATTTGCCTGCAAATGGATGTCCACCCCTAGAACCTGGAATCCTGGGCATCACAGCAGGTGGAGACCTACACAGTCAAGCTATCAAATCTTTTCAAATCCTTTCAGCAGAAGACATGAAGGATTAAGGGATTAAATATGTGTAATGAGGTGATATTGGGATGTAAAGAAAAACTTCAAGGCCTGAGACATGGAGAACAGAGCTCTCCCCCGAGGCAGCAGGCTATAAGCTTAAACAAGGCCCTTGGGATGCATCTAGTCAGTCACATTGCTACACTCCAGCTGTGGTTTTCCTAAGCAGTGCAAATGGCTAATAGAGAGGTTGGAAGTTTGAGTTGCCTCAGACGCACCTTGGAAGAAAGGCCTGGCAATCAACTTTCCAAGACCCACCCACTGAATACGCTGCAGAGCACAGCGTGGGGGCCAGGAGTCAGCCTGAGGGCAGCCTGGCACTGTGACTGCAGCTTCGCAAGACGTGTCTGTATAGCTGCTTGTTGTTGCTGTTGTTAGGTGCCCGCAAGTCAGTTACAGCTCACAGCGCCTCTATGAACAACAGATCTGACCTTTGCTGCACCATCCTCAGCAGCTCTGAGATGTTTGAGCCCTTTGCTGAGGTCACTGTGTCAGTCCACCTCATTGAGGGTCTTCCCCTCTCTCACTGACCCTCCACCTTTCCACTGTACGCATGTCTCTAGTCCTCACTCTCTACAGGTTGTGTCAGGGCTGCAATCAACAGACGCCCTGGGTGCAAACACTCACTCGTGCAGCAGCGGCCGGGCCACGGTGTCCCCGCGGGTGTGAGCGCGGTAGAAGAGTGTGTACAGGTAGGGCAGCAAGGTGTACCGGATGTTCAGGTAGTGCCTGGAGGAGTTGAGCAGCAGGGAGTCGTTGCCGAAGGAAGCGGGGTCCTGGTCCTGGGGGGACACAAAACCGAGAAGCCATTGTCATCAAGGTCACTCCCACCTTGTGATCCCGACGGACAGGGAAGAACCACTCCATGCATTTCCAAGGCTGCAAATCTTTACAGAAGCAGATGGACACATCTTTCTCTTGTTGTTGTTATTGTTGTTGTTGATTGTCTTTGAGTCGAGCTAGACTCATAGCGACCCTATGGACAAAAGGCCTGAAGCCCCTCTACAACTATCAACATTTATCAAAGTTCATAGTGTTTCTGGAGGCATGTTGTTCAGGAAGTGGATGCCACTCCTGCTTCCAAGTCTGTCATAGTATGTTATCGGTTGAGTCGCCTGCGATGCATAGCGACCCTATGTACAGCAGCTCTGGACCCTTCCCCGTCCTGAGCCAGTGTCACTGACTCTGACACACCACCCTCCACCCCCCCAGTTACTGTATCAATCCGTCCCATCCGGGGTCTCCTCTCCTGAATCTCATGGGCCTTAGCAGCCAGTCTTCTGGCTATTCTTGAGGCCATGCTTTAACCACTGCACCACCAGGACTCCTACAGAAAGAAGCAGCCCACCTGCTACAGTTGAGTCACTACAACTCACAGAGACCTCACAGGCCACAGTAGGAATGTCCCCAAGGTCCCCATGGCTGTTAGGTCTAAGGGCACAGACTGCCTCCTCCGAGTGGCTGGTGTGTTCGGAACTCCCACCTCTGGATTAGTGGTCAGGGGTCCCAGGGACCCTGGGGAAGACACCCTCAAACTAAGTCCACTGACACAAAGTGGTTCCCACTCAGAGTGACCCCTCCATTGTGCTTCTGAGGCTGTAAATTTTTACAGAAGGAAACTTCCACTTATTCACTTGTGCAGTCACCAGTGGATGTGAACTCCCAACTCTGTGGTTAGCAGATGAGTACTTTAACCACTGTGTCACCAGGGAGCCTGGAGGAGACGCCGTGGAATCGCAAGAGTGGCTGGAGAATCCCAGGCCTCGCTCACGTCATCCTAGCATGTCCCCACTGCATGACTCAGAGCCTCCAGTCCAGGCAGTGCTCCGAGTACCCATGGGCACAGAAGAAGGGTTGCAGGTAGCAGAGGAGCAGGTAACAGAGGTGCAGGTGTAAGGGGCACAGAGAGCACAGCAAGCCTCACTGTTGGCACCCCTGTGCTGCGCTCGGAGGACTGCCCACAGGACCACCTTGAAGCCTCCGTTGTACCGTGCAGAGAAGCACGGCAGGGGGTGTGCACGGAGGTCTGAGGACAGCCTGCAGACACTCCACAGACACGGGAGACAGTGGGGCCCTGGACGGTGCACATGCTGACCGTGCTCGGCTCCCGACCGAAAGGAAAGAGGCTCCAGTCCACCCACAGGTGCCTCAGTAGAAAGGCCTGGCAATCTGCTCCTGAAAAACCAGCCACTGGTAACCCTACGAGCACAGCTCTGCCCTGACACAGGTCACACAAGTCGGAACTGACTTCCTGGCTCTGGTTCCTGGGGGCAGGTGGGCATGGGCAGGAGCCCACAGGTGCTTGGGGGCAGCACTCAGTGCAGCTGACGAGTATGAGGAAGGGCCTGCCCAGCAGGTTTCTAGGTGGAGTGCAGACAGGCCCAGCCCCACGGGGCGCTGCGTACCTGCAGACTGCTCTCCTGGAGCTCACCTTGTAGCCCTGGCCATTGTGGTTCCGGGAAAACGGGTAGAAGGCGCCCAACTGCATCCACCGCGTGCAGAGCTCCTCAGAGACGTTCACTGCGTAGCCACAAATGTCAGGGCCCACCTGCGGGACAAGGACAGTGGACACCCACTCCCTCCTCCTCCTCTTCCCTCTAGGGAGCTCCCGGAGGAAGTCGCTAACATCTCTGTGGAAAAGGCTGGTTCCACGTAAACAGTCCCGGTCATTGCTAGTGTCCACCATTTACTCCTCTACGACTTGAGAGATGGTCCTTAACCTCGTCATGTCTCACTTTCTTTGTTGTGTTAAAGTTCTAATTCTGTCAACTACCTACATAGGATTCTCATGAATGAGAAAATGTAAGTAAAACCCTTAGCATACAGTAGATGACACAGACATTGTTGTGTTAAGAGTCACTGAGTCAGATACGAATTACAGGTACTTAACAGGTCCGAGCCTTTTCTGTCCTGCACCAGTCTTGGTCTACATATGTTATGAAATGTTTATACATATATATACACATATGCGTCTATCATAACATATGCTATTATAACTATAAGCATGTTGTGATGACTGTATGTTAATATATGTAAGAGATGCTGTGACGGGCTGTTGAGTTGATTCATAGCCGACCTTCCAGCGGGTTTGCAGAGTCTGTAAACCTCATGAGTGGACACTGTTCATCCTTCAACCACAGGGCAGCTGGGGGATTTGAACCATGTGCAAGGCAGACAGTCTCCTCTCCTAGAGATCGGCAGCTTCAGGAACCCAGGGAGGGTCTCTGTGCGTCAGACTCGTGTTCTCTTCACGCATCCAGGTGCTGGATTCCCAGAGGATGTTCAGTTTGTGAAGGTCCCTAGCTGTGTTCTTAGTGATGTGGGAATAGCTCTGCATGTTATTGCTATGTTCTGATTGATGTCCAGTGAAATGATCTCTGGCCTGGCCTCCCCTCTCCTCACAATCTCTGCTGCACTGAAGTCCACTGCTGGAGTCTCTGTGTCCATACGCTTTGCTGAAGGTCTTCCTCTCTTTCACGGCCCCTTTATTTTTCCAAGCATAACGTCCTTCTCCAAGGACTGGTCTTTGCATGTGTCCTCTGTTTCACAAGAAGAATACCTTGGAAGTAATATTTGACAGCTGTATTATCTGCACAAGTTATCACAGGATGGAACATGGTGGTGTCAGAGCCATCCGCATGTTGAGGAAGCTCTTGCGCTCAAGTCCTTAAGTCCTTGGGTCATCAATCAAGAGCAGGAAAGGTGTGCTTCTTGCTCTCAGTTTTCTCAGTTAAGGCTTTCTGGGAGCTGACATTCACAGGAGAACTTGGGGTGGGTACTTACCATGGGAATGCCGAAAAGGTTGAACTCCAGCATGCCTGGGATGGACCATCGAAGGTCGTCCCAGGTGGCAGCATTGTCCCCTAGCCAGTGAGCTGCAAACTTGCCGGACCCCGCGAAGGTTGAACGGGTTACAATGAAGCTCCTCTTATTGGGGAATACGGTCTTGACAGCTCTAGACACAGAGAGAGATTCAGGGAGTCACTGGGTGGTCCCCACTTGTCTCAGCCCAGGGAAGTCAATATGCCACCAAGCTTCTGGAAAGCAAATGCCCCACTCTCCTCTCAGCTCCCAGGACAGTGAGAGGGGCCGCCAGGGGGAGGCTGCACCACTGAGCAGGTCTGAGTTTTGTGTAAGCTGTTTTCTCTCTCCTCTCTCCCCTCTCCCCTCTCCCCTCTCCCCTCTCCCCTCCCTCTCTCTCTGTCTCTCTCTCTCTGTCTCTGTGTGTGTGTACCAGGAACCTCACAGTGGTCACAAAGTACAAAAGCTCGAAGAGGCCTGAAAGCAGAGAGAAGCAATGGAGCTGGAAGAACAGACGTGCCTGAGCTGTTCCATACCATGCACCTTGATGAAGACAGATTTGGGAGCAGGCTGTTAGAGCACACTCTCTTTTTAAGGAGAAGCTCTGGTAATACTTTCATAATAAGAAGAGACAAACCCAGCCCAACCCTCTGCCCCGACTGCCTCCATCGGATTTCTGAGGCTGTAAATCTGTATAGGAGGAGACTGTCTACCTTTTACCCAAGAACGGTCAGCAGAGTCAAATCTTCCTGTTAGCATCCTGACATGTACACTCTATACCACCAGAACTCGTTTCATAATAAGAAAACACTTTAAAGTGTCATGTGTGTGTGCTTCAATAACTATGCACAAGTAGAAAGGTAATTTGTGTATTTTAATTAAAAGCTTATGCTCATATTTTTAAACTTTTAGTATTGCCCTTTTGCAAAAACCTTTGAAATGTCTATGATTACATCTTGACTGTGCAGGTGTGTGAATGTGTTTTGGGGGTGTGGATTCCCACTGTCACAGTTGTAGTGAAAGGTAAATGTTCAACATTGCTTCATCTATAGGGAATCTGAGTCCACACACAAAGGCAGTTGTGTGCAGCAGAAGGACACAGAGCCAGTATCAAAACCCCAGAACACCTGGCTGTGAACCCACCACGTACCCCCCACTCTTGGCCAAATACATAGTACAAGAGGAAGCCCTAGGTTTTGAAGTAAAAATGAAAAGAGGTCAAGTTCTGCTTCTGTCATCGCCTTGACATTGAACACCAGCTTCGCCTCTCTCTTCCAATCTTTGTTTTCCATCTACCCATCCATTTACTCTTGCTTTCATTTTCTGCATCCAGTAATTTTTGTTGGACTCCCTGCTTCCAAGGTACCAGTTTCTTTATTCCTTTAGTAAGGATGATAATACGTTTCTTAGAGCTTTTGAAAGTAATACACTCGTGCAACTAATGGTCTAGAACAAGAGAGGAAGAAAATAAAAGATGTACAGAAAAAAATTAATCTAAAGGACTATCCAGTCACTTGAACTTCAAACTGTACAACCCTGAGACCAGAAGAACTATGTGGTGCCCGGCTTCCACCAATGACCACTCTAAAGGGAACACAGTAGAGGATCCTGGATTGGGTGGAGGAAAATGGGAAATATAACTAAAAAATACAGAAAAGTCCATATTTACTGGTCCAATACAGACTTGCAGGAACCCAACGACTATAACCCTTGGTCACCCTTTGAACCTGGAGCAAAAATCACCCCTGTGGTTCATCTCTCAGCCAAACAATAGGCTGGTCGATCAGATGACCAACACCACCTGTGAGGCACTCACTTCTGACACATAAGGTCAGATGAGCAGCATTTTTCTGAGGATAAGGAATTGAAGGCAGTAAGAGATGGGGTGAAAAGATGAACAAAACTAAAACTTTCAGGGAGAAAATGGGAAGACAACATTGTGGGTATTGTAATTGGGGTGTGAGTGGTTTGATAGAGAACCTTGTAAGTATTCGTTCAAATCACAATAGAGAAAAGGTGATACACATGAGCCCTTCTCTTCCCCAACCCCAGCACCTAGAAGGCGGACAGGCAGACCAGGTACTTGGTCTACAGTGTGAGCCCCACCCCAGCATCTAGGAAGATGGGCAGGTAGACCGGGGGTCCTCAGTCTATAGCACGAGCCCCTCCCCACCAGCATCTAGAAGACAGGCAGGCAGACCAGGTCCCCGGTCTCCAGCGCAGAGGTGCTCTTACTCAGCGGTGGCGATCGCCATGGAGTAGCCGTACAGGTTGTGGACGTCATACTGCCTGCCCCAGTGCTGCATGGCATCCATGCAGAGGCTCTTGCAGAACAGGTATCCATCCAGGACCCCTGGAGGAAGAGGGGGTCCTCAGTGGTTGCCTGGGGTGCACTGCCCCTCAGCTGTCACGGGACCTGCATGGCGGTGTCTGGATCGACATGGACCATGGACAGTCTGCGTGTGCACAGGCCGCTTCCTCACCATCTATGGGGTGGTCTCTTCACACAGAAATGGGTGTGCTGACTCTACCCTTCCCCCTGACGCCTCACTCACACATGGAGTCATGATTGACCCTCCATCGAGTTTCTGGAGGAACCACTGGTGTATCTGAAGCACTAGAAGGGCTAGGGGGCCTCCAGAGCTCCCTGCACTGTGACTTGAGGGGTGTTTGGAGTAAGTTTACTTAAACTCTAGGGTTAAGCTGAATCTCAAGCTGAGCTGAGGCAGGTGGTCCAGGAATGAATGAATGAAAGCATAATCTAACTTATTATCCCTCCTCTCGGGCTGTGTCTTATAAAGAACAGTTCCTCCATCGCTCTTTCCTTAATCTTTTCTTATCCTTGGAAGTTCACATTCAAGAGTGAAAACTAACCACCACGGCCTCTGCTCCGTATCTTCTCTGGACTGTCCTACAGCCGGCTCAGCACGCAGGCACTGTCCCTGCGGGGACATGGCCATGGAACCTGCCTTGTCAGACCCCCCACGGCTTCTTTACCGTCTCACCAGCTCTCACCAGGCCCAGCGCACCGGGACTTACCGGGAGTGAATGGCGGGTAGTTCAGATTGTTGCTAGAACACCCTGTCACTGAACCATCAACAAAGTTGGAGACTTCATTCATGTCCTACAAGACGTGGAGAAAAAAGGCTGCTGAGAAAAAGCTACACGCCCATCATGCTGCCCTGCCAGTGTCTTCCTCTCAGAAAAACAAGCAGAGAAATCACGCCAGGTATTTCCTCTCTTAAAGGCATTTGTGCTTATGGAGTGCAATATGTATTCCTGACTTCTCTACTTATTGGAGGGGCGAGAGAAAAGTTTCTCAGAATTCTTCAAAGTCATATTTGTAAAAGGTTGCAGAAAACTAGCAAATCCCTACATGCGTAGAATAATTTCAAAAGTTCAAAATGCTTTTGTTTTAGTAAGATTATGTATACATGCTTGTGTGTGTGTGTGTGTGTGTGTGTGTGTGTGTGTGTCTACACACACACAATGTGAGGAACTAGAAGCGGGACTGGACTAAAATAACACACATTTCTGAGTTTCCTCCCAACTCTGACTTCTTTGATTCTAAACTACATGTTCTGTTAGAATTATTTGAGCATTTAGATAGTTAAACCTAAAAATTGGGTTTTTTTCCCTTTTCCTTGCCTTACTTTTCTTTCCTCATCTCCCACCTATGTTCCATGACTCTAAATATACACATAGACAGATAAATTATGAGTCACCTCCCAGTACTCACAATCTGATGACATTCTGACCATTGTGAGCCTTTGATGGGTCACGAAGTTGTAAATCCTAACATAAACAGATTGTCTCATCTTCTCCCAAGGAGCAGCAGCTGGGTTTGAACTGCTGGCCTTTCAGTTAGAAGATGCCTTGGGTTTCTCTACCTTACTGTTGAAATAATCTTAACTAAATATTCAGCTCAGAATCCAAGTCTAGCACTTAGCTCATCTTGTCACCAGAATTCCTTCAAGTAGAGAACAGACTCTCAAATAATTAGTAAACTTAGGAAGCCACACATTCACGTCCACAGGGAGCAAGAGCTCAGAAAAGGAGGGTAAGGTGAGTTCTGCTAGCCTAGTGGCAAGAAGGTGCACTGCAATCCCAGAGGTAAGTGGTTTCAAAGCCACCAGATGCTCTGCTGGAGAAGGAGGGGCAATCTCCTCCTGTACCAGTCAGATCCAATTTGACAGTACACAAACAACAAAAAAAAATTTAAAAGAAAAGAAAAGAAATGGAGGGTAAAAATGGCTGCCCCTCTCGAAGAACAGCTTCCCCACCACTGACATGTCCATGGGGAAATGGAGGCACTGGTGTTTATTTTTATTTTGTCTTTACAACAACAATAAAAAGAAAGAAAAAGAAAAGAACTCACAATCCATATCCCATCGAACTCCACCTGAGTGTGGAAAAGCTCGAATTCCCTTGCCCACCACACAGCACAGGTAGGATTAGTGTAATCGGGAAACACAGTTCTTCCTGGCCAGACCTGCAAGAGAAGAAAAACAAACAAACAAAGTGTTAAAAGTAAATAAAATTAATAGAGTGAAATAGGAATCCTGACAACACAGAGTTTGAAATCCTAGACTGGTCACCAAAAGGTCAAAGGTTCAAAGTCAGCAGTCACTCCATAGAGGAGAGGCAGTGGCATGCTTCCCTAGGTATTTACAGCCTCAGAAACCCTCTGAGGCAGATCTGATCAAACCCGTGAAGAAGCACCAGGAGTCAGACGTGCTCCGTAAGTACAGCAAGGTGCCCTCAGACACAAGGCTGCTAAGACTCGTCTCTCCTGCGTCGGGCCTGTTGTCAGGAGGGGCCCTGTCCTTGAAAAAAGGCTTCAGGCCGGGAAAAGTGGAGGGTCAACCAGAGAGAAGATGACTCTCAACGAGACGGGTTGACACGGTGACTGCCAGGATGTGCTGGAGCGTGGCGGAGGTTGTGGGGCTCGTGCCGTGCAGGCAGGGCTCAAACCTGTGTCCCGATGAGTCAGAGGTGACCTAACACCACCTGTCAACTGCACTCGTCGGAGCTGATGTGACAGCAGTGAATTTGGGTTTGGACTCTAAAGTAGAGAGTCCTTCAGAGAAAAGCACCTTCTAGACCAAGCAAGAGAGGATGCTGGGCTTTCCGAATGCTTACGACAAACCTCAAACCAAAAAGCAAAATGAAAACCACCGCCTTTGAGTACTTTCAAGTGAATGTCTCTGTGTCACATTTTAGTAATTTCTAGATTTTAAATCTTTCATAAGATGTTTTCATATTTGATAGGCTACTGTCTCTCTCTCATTGCCGTTGAGTCCAAAATGACTCCCAGCTGACCTTCAAGTGGATTTTCAGGAGGCTGTAAATTAGGGGGCGGGGCGGGGCTGGAATGTTCATCTTTCTCCTGAGGAGACACTGGTGGATTCAAGAACTGCCAGAGACGTGGCGTCAGAGACGCAGGAACTCTGCGGACTGTGGACGTGGCCTTCAGAGACGCAGGAACTCTGAGGACACGCGACCTTCGTGCGCTGCAGGAGAGGTCATCTGTCGCCTGCACTTGGAAACCTAACACTCGTATAACTGACTTTTTTTGTGATATTAGCTTTTTCTGGAATGGGGATCTGAAACTGAACCCACAATATCTCATAGATCTGTCTGTATAAGGTAAAATAAAAGCACCTCATATGCACGCACACATACATACACATGTGTGTATACACATATGCACAATCAAAACATATACACATACAAACACAAATACACATGTGCACATACATACACATAACACAAACAGATGCAAACATACACACAGGAATTGTGGCTGTTGTTGTTATGTACAATCAAGTCAGAGCTGACCCACAGCTGACCCGCCTGCAGGTTTTCAGAGGCTGTAAATGACACAGGAGGAGATTGTCCTTTCTCCTGCAGAGCAGCTGGTGGATTCGAACCGCTTGTCTTTGAGTTGACAGCACCGTTCCTTTCCCACTAAGCCACCAGGGCTCTCTATCAAAGTCTGTATGCATATTCAGATGCACATATACAAACATACACACACACACACACAGCCCCTCCGCCGACCCTGTCCCCCTGACCAGTTACCTCCCCGACGAGCGGAGTCACCCGATCCGAATTGTTCACCCATATCTTCATCTGTGAGCCCCTGTCGTAGGGGCTGTAGGGTTGGCTCTGGGAAGAGTTGTTGGAGATGGCTGGGTCCTAAGAGGGAAATGCAGAAAGGCGCACTTGAGCCCTGTAGCTGGACAGGACATGCGGGCACAGGGCCGGGTATAAAGTGAGGGTCTGCTTGGAGGGAAACGAGGGGACCACCTACCACAATGATGACCAGCTTCTGCCCGTTATTGTGTAAATCCTTAGCAAACTCAGGGAACCCTCTGAAGTCCACCGGGTCATAGGTGAAGTCCCTCCGCTGGTCCATGTAGTCGATATCAGCGTGCTGGACATCCTGGAAAACAGGCCACGCGCACAGTGAGCGCTGGGGCCTTCCGGGTGCACTCTGGGCATCCCTGTGTGGCTATTGCATGCAGCAGGTAACCAAGAGGTGGAGGCTCGAATCCACCCACAGGCTCCTTGGAATAAAGGCCTGAGGTTCTATTTTCTGAAAATCGTCCACTTAAACCCTGTGGAGTAGAGTTCTACGCACACATGGGGTGACATGATGCAAAAAGGAATTCACGGAGATCGGGTTTTATTGTCCACATTAAACATCCATTCGTGTCAGGCCTGGAGCTATGATCTTGTCCAGGGCCTGGCACCCTAGTGTTTATTCTGTGGCCATCACTTCCGAAGCAGTGACCTGTCTCCCCTAAGGCAGGCCATGTCACTTAAATCAGCGTTAATGACTCTGGTTGCCGGGCTCTCTGGAGTTTAAAACCTACACAGTCAACCAACAGGCCCCCAAAGGGGCCCAAAACACCTGTCATCTAAATTATGAGATGAGAGCACCTGAGACCTAAATCACATGGTGAGAGGTGTGCCTCCCTCCTTACATGTCTCCCCTTTTTACACTAAACCGCACAGTGAGGGGATGTTCCTCTCTCTTCTCAGACGTCCCCCCTTTTTACTTCTCATCTCCTTCATGGCTGCCTTGGACTTGTTCTTTCCTGGAAGTTCAAATCCACCAGCAGTTCTGAAGGAGAAACGTGGACACCAAGCTCCACAGTCTCAGACAGAGGGCCCACCGGAAGGGTCGCAATGAGCAGCTGGTCTCAGGCATGAAAATGATGGAACACACAAAACAGACACCAGGTCAACGATCCCTACCTCTGTGATTCAGTGACGCTAATGGCATCCTGTGAGTTGTGCAAACAATGTTACCCCCTTTTCTGAGCTGTTCCTCCCTCCTCCAAGAACATGAAAGAAACCAACTCTTGCCCTGAGGCCCCAAGAGTCTCCCCCAAAGGGCCCCAGGAGGGGAGAGGGAAGAGGATGACACCAGACGGGTTAGGGTCCTCCCTCAGTCTCTCCTGTGACACCTCGTTCCCACCATGGCCATGCACAGCAGGAAGACATATCACTATGCGGCAGGCATTGGATCCTTTTGCTCGTTCTGGAGAAACTCAAACCCATTTGACACAGAGTTGATATAGACTCAGGTCATCGATCATGGGGTTTCTGAGGCTGTCAATCTTCAGGGGAGGAGTCTGTCTGTCTGCCTCCTACGGACTGGCTGGTGGTTTCAAACTCTGACATTTTGGTTAGCAGCGCACTGTGTAATCCACCTGAGTTTTAAAGCTGGTAAACACAGACCCCTCGACTGAACTGAGCCCGCAGGCGTCAGCTCCACAACCGAGTGTTACTTCTCACACTGCCCTCCACACACAGAAACCAGAACAGGCAGCCCTTAGCCCTGCTACTGGAAGCTTGGAAGAGTAGTTCCTGGGAAAAATGAACTGTAGATTCACGGATAAATGGAAAAGACTAGTCCAACAGAAACGTCTAATTATCTGAGTATTAAAACAAAAAAGTGACCAAAAAAGTAAGACAGAGAGAAGAAAGCACACTTGGTTGTTCTTATCTCGTTATCACTCTATGTAGGGAGGATTGTGGTTGGTTAACTGGTGGCCTAGTAGAGAAGGAGTTGTACTGCCAACCAAAAAGCAGGTGGTTCAAATCCACCAGCTGCTCCATAGAAAAAAGATGGGCAATTTCTTCTCTGTGATTGACAGTCTCAGAAAACTAGTTGGAGGGTAAGCTAGGAGTTGTTCCTATTGATGAGAGTGGGGCGAGTTGACTACCAGTGTGTTATATGTGGTGGTTTACATGTTGCTATGGTGTTGGATGCAGAACAGATTGTCTGGGAGGCTGAACTTTATGAAGAGGAAGGTGGCATCAGGATCGGAGGTAGACTCATCAACAATCTACGGTATGCAGATGACACAACCTTGCTTGTTGAAATTCAGCAGCATCTGAAGCACTTGCTGCAGAAGGTCAAGGACTATCATCTTCAATATGGATTTCAATCAAGAAGACAAAGATTCTCTCTGTTGGGTCAATCGGCAGCACCGTGACATATGGAGAAGAGGTTGAGGTTGTTTGCCATTACAGCTTGCTCAACTCCGTGGTTAACCCTCTTTGTACTGACAGTCAAGAAATCAAAAGGTAAAATGCCCTGGACTATCTGCCATCAAGGGCCTCTCCAGAGTACTGAGAAGCCATGATATCAGTCTAGAAACTAAGGTGTGCCTGACTGACCCAGGCTGTGGTCTCATTGATTACTTGCCATGCATCAGAGAGCTGGACAATGAGTAATGATGACAGAAGAATTGACACCTTTGAGTTATGGTGCCGAAGAAGAGTCTTGAACATACCATGGACCACCAAAAAAACAAATAGGTCTGTCTCGGAGAGGGTGAAACCAAGATTCTCTTTAGAGGCTAAGATCTTGAAGCTCTGTCTCACTTACTTTGGGCATATGGCCAGGAGGGACGGAGCCTTGGAGAAGAACATCATGTTTGGAAAAGTGGAAGGACAGAACAGGAGAGAAAGACCCCATGAGATGAATTGATACAGTAACCAGGACAATGGAGGTGGGTGTGTCGGAGTCAGTGAGACTGGCCCAGGACAGGGCGGGCTTGAGAACTGTTGTACACAGGGTCACAATGAGCCACTGGCAGAGAGCACACAACATCATCAACATCATAGTGTTGGAAGTGAAGCCACTGGTGATACCATTTCAAAACCCAGCGGGTTCACTCCTGGAGGACTGGCTTCCATGGAGCTTCCAGACTAAGACAGATTCAGGGGAGGGGCGGGGGGGAACCCTGGCAATCTACTTCAGAATTAGCCAATAAAATCACTATGGGTCAGAACAGAATGGTGGCCCAAAGAGCACTAGCCTTCACACCGAGCTGTTACTAGGTCAGCTGACTGGACGTAGAGAAGGACAACTTACGTAAGGGAGCCCAGCTGCGCGGTTTCTCTCCACGACCTCTTTCATTTTGTCCAGTGTCCCATATTCATAACGGCTGAGGTGAAACCCGAGAGACCAGTAAGCGGGGAGGGCCGGTCGGCCAATGAGCTGCAAGATGTGTGTGAAATGAATCTTAGTCAACATTCATTTTAATACAACTTTTCATAAGTTTAGTTTCAGGGACACAAAATATACTCTGTTTTTCAGCTCATACTGATTCACTACTGTGAGAATGTTAATCTTACTTTCCCAAGACCTTTAAAAATCATAATGGTCTGGTAAACCAAATCATGAGCACTAGTATTGTGTTGCTTTTGTGGTGGTGTCAGACTAATTTTAACTTAGAGTAACATCAATATGTTCAGCATAATAAAACACCATACAGTCCATGCAAAAAAACCAAAAAACATAGTGGGCTTCAGATGGAGGAGAAGATAAATAGAGAAGATGGTTCAAATTCACAACAATGATGGGATTTCTTGGAGGGAGAATGTCAAGAATGTCACAGCTGCCCCCAGGCCTGAACACTACTTAAAGGAACCTGATAATTTTTAAGGCAACCATAGCAGAGACCAGATCAAAGGCCAGACCATCGGACTGAAGACCAGATCAGGCAACGGATCCTGATAAAGCTTTGGGCCTGGTCACAAAAGCCCAAGCCCAAGTTAATTAACAGCTCTAGATTCTGGGGACAATATCGTCTTCCCTAGTCCTCCCAACAACCCCTATTATTGTCATGACAGGAGTCCAGATTGAAGGCTGCACAGTGCAATGGACTTAAGGGAAGGGATTGCATAGCAGTGAAAGAGTTTCCCTTTTACTTATCAAGGAGAAAAGTGAATTGGGGGGAGGGGCTGGGCAGGGAGAAATGTGCAACAATGAATGACTGAAAACCCCAAGTCTCTGTAAACTTTCATTAAAATTCATTTAAAAAATAAATTTTAAAAAAAAAGAAACCGCCCTTGACTGCCCTCACACTATTTTGACCTTCTCCACAAGCGGTCAGTTGGTCACTTGACAGCCCTCTCAGTCCACTCAATAAAGGTCTGTTCATTTCTTGGGACCAGCTTCTTTTTTTTTTTTCTCTTTTGCTCTCAACTCTTTTTCTGTCTAATAAAGCCCCTGACCCTATGGCCCTCAGCCACCCTTTGAGACTAGAACAGAACTCACTCCGGTCACACAACGTGCAGCCAACTAACGGACAGCTGTGTAAGGGGAACGCTGCTGAGCCTGCAGAACTCTAAACCACACAGGGTCATGAGGGCAGCGTGGGCTCAGGGATGACACTCGGGAAGTAGGAAGAGAGAGGATGGATGGATGGATGGATGGATGGATGGATGGATGGATGGATGGATGGATGAATGGAGACAAGAATGACGGAGATAGAGGTAGTGGGGCACGGATGACGTGATATGAGGATAGTACTCAGTTATAAAGCAAAATATGCATGAATGCGTGAATGGAATGCTAATCTGCTCTGTCAACTTTCACTTACATCACAAAATGTTAAAAGCAACACACACACACACACACACACACACACACACACACAAAATAGATAGTACTGTGAAAGCTAAAAGAGAAAACGCCACAAAATAACTGAAAATCTTCGCAAGACCATCATTAGGCACTGCTGAATTCTCTCACTGTCTTTCTATAATGCACAGATGCCAGGAAGCAAGATTCTGTTTCTTCATAAGACCGTATGTTTGTGAGTCACACCGCCATGCGGAACTCCCCCTTCTCTGAGCTCGGTGGGGGTCAGGATACTAGCACTCACCTCCAGATACTCTTGGACAACTTGCTCGGGAGTGTTCCCCAAAAAGACATAGAAGTCCAGGACGCCCCCAATCGTGCGGTAGGTGATCGCAGGAGCAGGCTGGAGGACAACGTCTTGAAGAATTAAAAATGAAGACGGTAGAAATCAGCGTTCAGTCCAGAGGCATATACTCAGTCACCTAGACTAGAAGACCCCGACCAGTGAAGTGGCCCTCGTGGCTTTGGGCTTTTTATACACAGTGACGACGCTGATGACCAAGGTCCACCATCAGAAAACAGGAGGCCCACCCACTGGAGCCCGTGACGGGCTGCAGTAACGGTCAGGAGAGCTGGCTAAGGGGCCTGATGGTGCTGTGTGTTAAACACTGAGGTAGTAACCAAAACATTAGTGGTTCGAACCTACCAGCTGCCCTCTAGGCAAAGGATGAGATCATCTACTCCCGTAATGATTACAGCCTTGGAGACCCTATGAGGCTGTTCTATAGGGTTGGTGTGAGTTGGAATTGACTGGATAGCAGTGTTTCTTTCAGGTTGTTTGGGGGGTTTTTTTGGGGGGAGGGGTTTTATTGTGGGATGTTTGTTTGTTTGTGAACATTATTGTCACTTCGTGCTCAGATCTCAGGCTCCCATAACAAATCAGCTACACTCATAACCTCAGGGCATGGTGTCCCCACCCCATTCTTAGCCCTGTGACTGCAGGAGACCGTGAGAAACACCGGGGTTCTTTCCAAATGTTTGAATCCCACATCAAATAAGAGGCAAATTCAACATCTTCCGAGATGCTGTTAAACATTAAACATCACTCTACACTCCAAAGAACATTCTCAAAGGTGAGGATATCTCCATAATCTGGGTTTTCATCTAGAAATAAAAGGCCCCTTGGTCTACTGAGCTCTGTGTTGTATTATCAGGAACAATTCACACAGAGGATGTGTGAATTCACACAAAGGGTCTTTTCTGCCAACCCTGAGCTTGTTTGCTAGTCTGCTGTTGAGGACCGCTGTAAGGTACTGAGAAGTGATGCTGGTTTACATACTAAGATACACCTGCTGTAAGAAAACAGCTGGCTGACTAAACTCTATAATAATAGAAAACATCCCACTAGAGGCAGTCACACGAAGACCATAAACGAGAGGAATCCCTCTTCATACCTTCCATGGGCCAACAATAATGAAGCAGGGATGATGGAATGATCAGAAATGTACTTGACCCAAAGCCATGGCCAATCCTGAAGGAACCCATTCCATTCACCACAGAGCCGTACTAAACAGACTGAAACCCACTCTTGTGCATTTTCATAAACATTTCTCTTTGGTCTTTTACCCATGGCATTGCTGTTCATCAGAAAGACCCCGAAGGACAAGCCACTAGCGTCTTCAAGGCACAGGAAGAAGGTCTGCGCACCATAAAGGTTGGTTCCATCCTGCAAAAAGGTTGAGAAAAAGCAAACACTCACCATCTCATCTCCTAAACCTCATGTTGCTAGAAATGTCTTAGTCTTAATCAGATCAACTCAACTTAACTTATTGCTATGGAGTTACAATTGACTTAGAACTGAACTTCCAGTGCGTTTTCAGAGGTTGTAAACTGCATGTGAGATTGTCTCACAGTACCTACTAGATCCAAACAATCTGCCTTTCTGTTGGAAGCACAATTTCTTAACCGCTAAGTCCTAGGTAGCCCTAAGTGATTAGTGCTAATTACTCTATTAACAGAAGACTCATGGTCAGAAAGGACATAAATGAGTTTAACAACACGAATCTGTATTTATTCAGTGTTAACCAAGGGAGTTAGTGTTTTCTTACTGACTGGGCCAGCTCTGACCACATATTTAATAGGAATATGAGAAGTTGTTCTTCTTATTAGGACTACTATTGTGGGGGGGAGTTCTGAAACTGTGCTCCAAAAATCAATCCCCTCAAAGAAGTTTATCTTAACTTGACTTCAATGTCCTCTGCAAAGGTATAAGCAAGTCTTCGTAAAACCAGGCATCTTCCTAACATGCAATCTCAGAGAGCTCTGCTTGCAGAATCTCGCTATGCATACTTCCTGTGCATGCGCCAGCACCCACTCCCCACCCACAAGGTAATATAGTGGTCCAGCTTACAGAGAAGGCACTAAAGACATGGATCTAGGACGCAGCAGAGCCAGAATCCAAGCCCAGCACCTCATTCAGGAGTCTTAGAAGGTGCAGAAAGAGGCAGCCCGCAAGAACCACGTTGGTCTTGCTCTAGGAGGCACTGCTGGGCCCGTTCTCCAACAGTGAGGTCATAATAGAGCACCGCATCTCCCCAGATGCTCACCCCATTGGGAGTTGTGTCCCTAGCAAAGATGGACCAGGTCTTCCAGTCCATGCTGTGACGGTACTCCTGGTGCACATGCTCCCCCAGCCCATACACGTTGGCGCTGGGCAGGCGGATGGACAGTTGGAGGAACTGGTCAGCGAAGAGGAGGGGACCAATACTTGAGTCAAACCTGGACAAAAGGGAAGACATATGGAGACAGGTGGGCAGGTGGGGTAGAGAGAGCACAACTGCTTAGAAAAGGGAAAGATCTCAGTGACTTTAAAAAATGCACCAGAAGGACACGCTGTTCAATCCTACGTCGTTCTTCCAACTGCTGCTGCTCTTGAGCTCAAGGTTGAAGCAACTATGTCACTCTGTCCTGCTGAGAGTCTGCCTCTTTGTCAATGACCTTCTGGGAAGCATGGTGCCTTTCTCCAGATACTGCACCCACAGTACATGAGATAAACCATGCTCGCCCCACAGAGCATACTGGCCACCTTCTTCCAAGGCATGTTTGGTTTGGGCAGCTCATGTGGCTAATGTCTTGGACTCTACTCCCTGAGAGACCTTCGCAATATTGCTGGAAGATCCCTGAAATGTCCCCACCTGGGTCCCCACAAAATTCTCAAAGCTTACAGAACACGACTGTTGCTCCTCCGGGTCACTTTGATGCTGAAGGGCTGCTTAGAGACCTCCACTAGGTAGTTCCGGGAAGACGCAGCACTGCCTCGGAAGGGCTGCACGTGCTCATGGGGTACTTCATACCTGGCCTTGCTGCGGTCAGTTAGCTGTCCAGAGAGAGGAAAGGGAAGAAAGTTAGTGTGACAATTTCTCCCACCAATAGTGGAGCTCTGGGTACCTATGCCTGTGGAGCTCAGATCCCGACCCAAGACACTATGGCATACACAGCACCCAACCCAAATCGTGAACACTGACCCAAAGCAATCCTACGTTAAAATGGATCCAATGATGCTGTTACACCACTCAGTTCATTCAGATGGATAGCACTGGGCAAAATAAATGTTCAGACAGGAGTGTACTCTGTAAATAGGATGAGATGGGCCCCCTAGCAAAATCTCAAAGTTGGGATACTTCCTTTCTTCTCTCTCAGCCTCTGAATACCTTTCACATGGTAACCAGGGTAAATCAATGAACGTCAAAGCTCACCAATCAGATCTATAATACACACTTAGTTATCACACAGAATAAAGGCCAGGAGAACTAAATAAGAACAATTACAGTGGAGAAAAATACTTCTATTAATAATATTTTCTATTTTGTAGGAACCGTGGTCTCTAGTTAATGAAAAAAATTTTCCCTAATTTTTTTCTAAAATAGGCAAATGATAACCTTAAAGTGGAATCGGTTGGATGTCTGGTATTCTGCTGTGAGGAGGACATCTTCAACATCATTCCCAAATAAAGACGGGGTTGGCAGTCTCTTCATCTGGACTGTGAATCCTTACATGCAGAAAGAAAAGATTTTCAGTCACCTCAATGGTAGTTACACAGAAACTTAGCTTTATGTCTAAGGTGAAAAGTTTTTGCTTCCTAATAAGATGTATACCCTGCTATCCACAAATCCTTCATGGGGCCAGATCCTGAGGCTGGGGACTCATTCCCTTATCTGAAAGCCTAGCTGTCTTTTGTACAAAGTCTAATTCCCAAAGACAGCTTTCCAATCATCAGGCCACTACCACACACCCTGGCCACATTAGCCCTCAAGCTGTAAATACATGTTCTTCCTTCTAAGTTATTGTCTTGCAATATGACAGGTGCACGTAGACCTTGATGCCAAGTCCCTACTTCTATGGTAAGCCAGGTGAGCCTGCGAACCATCTTTGAAAGGGAAGGTTAACTGAACCAAGAGCCTCCAAGGGGACTTTGACACTAAGAGTCCCCTAGTAGTAATAGCCTAGTAACCCTCAACACCGAAGGCCCATTACTACGCTCTGCATTTCAAGTTGGAATGAGAACGTGAATGTTCAGTCATGACTATAAACAGTAACTTAAAAATGCCATCAAATTATGATAACGTTGCAATTGCATAAGTGTCATTGAAACGACCTGGAATTGAGATCCCGCGGTGGTTCAAGCAGTTTGCAAGTGACTGTACAGATTGAGAGTTTGAACCACCCTAATACCACAGAGGAGCCACCTGATGATTTGCTTGCATTAACTGTACAGCCAAGAACACCTTACAGAGAGTTTCTACTCCGCCACACAGAGGCACATGACTCATAACCAATCCCATGTAGGTAACAGCCTAGTTGGGCATTACCCCAGGTGCTGTTCAATTCAAATCCTTCATCTTCCAGGTGAGAAGGTGGCCCACAGGCAGTGAGGATGCTCACCCGAGCACCCTGGGGTTCAGGTGGGGCCAGGAGCAGAGCTCACTGTGTTCCTGGCCAGAGCCACGGGCCCTTGGTGCTGGAGGAGGCTCTGGAAGACCCATGTGAGAGCACGTCCACCTTGTCTCACGCACGCACAGGGCACACCGACAGGCTGGGCAGACTCTTCCCTCTTCCAGGAGCATGAGCTGACCACCAGAGAGCTACAGCTCCCACCTGGCTTACCTGCCCCCGTGTCCACAGGGTCGCCCTCTGCCTGATAGCCATGACCCTTGGAATAGTAGCACCAGGGCACACTGATGGCTCCCTGGGGGTTCCAGCAGCAACCTCGCTGCTCACAGGTGGCCTGAAATGAGAGAAGGCTGTCAATGCAATGCCATCCTTTTATGAAGCAGTATGGTCTCAATTGTGTTCTTTTTTTCATCAGCTACGCACCTGGCGTGAGTTAGAGCACTGAGAACCATAACAGTTGTCCCTAACCCCGGTTCCTCTCACTGGCATCCCTCCTGTGCCATTGTCCATCTCTACTTCTGAGAGCAGGGAGGGTAGTCACTTTATCCCTGTCACCACAGCAAGCTGATGGCCAAGTATCCAAATATCCTAAACCGTAATGCACACTTGCAGGTGGAGTTTCATGCATATTGTCTTGGTCTTTTTTTTTTTCTTTCAAAGACTACACATTATTTGGAGATTTAGAAACCAGTAATTTTACTTTTAACTATGTGTTACTAATGAGTGCATATAAAATAGTTTCACATCTTTTACTAACTTTTTGCTAATGAATGCATATGAAATGGTTTCACATTTCCTACAGAGGAAAAATGTAATTTTTTTCTCAACACCTTAATGGTCCTTGTTTAGGACTTGTTGCTGTTGTTGTTGTTATGTGCCGTCAAGTCGCCTGCGACTCATAGTGACCCTATGTACAACAGCCCTAAACTCCGCTCTGTCCTGTGCCAATCGCACTGTCTCTGACACTCCCATCCCAATTATCCCAGTCACTGAATCAATCCACCTCATAGAGGGCCTTCCTCTCCTGCGCCGTCCCTCCACCCTCCCAAGCATGATGTCCTTCTCCAAGGACCGGTCTCTCCTCACAACATGTCCAAAGTATGTTAGACGGAGCCTCAGAATCCTTGCCTCCAAGGAGCCACCCGGTTTAACCCTTTCCAGGACAAATCTGTTTGTTTTCCTAGCAGTCCATGGTATTCTCAATACTCTTCTCCAGCACCACAGCTCAAAGGCATCAATTCTCCTTCTATCCTCCTTGGTCATTGTCCAACTCTCTGATGTATAACAGGTGATTGCGAAGACCATGGCCTATATCAGACGCACCTTAGTCTCCAAAGAGATACCATTGCTCTTCAGCACTTTGGAGAGGTCCCTAACAGCAGACTTTGCCATGGCAATGCGCCTTTTAATTTCCTGGCTGCTTAATGTAATTTTCTATTATCACACATAAGTCCTAAACTTCGCATTGCCATGGGAAGTTTAGGACTTATGTGTGATAATATAAAATTACATTAAAATTAAAAAGGAATTGAAATTTTATAAAAGTGAAATTTATTAAATGAAGTAGGAGGCATGAGGATGCAGTTGGGCTTGTAAAGTTGTAGACAAATCAGAGGATTTTTTTTTAAATAAAGAAGTATGAAGAGTTTCTATTCACAAAATCCTACAAAGAAAAAAATAATACTATTAAACTACCAAGACTAATTGTTGGCATTTCAGACAGAGGAATGACTTAGATGATCACTTAAGGTCATGTCAACTTTATCATTAAATCAATGTAATAAAAATAGAACTGTTGTTGTTGATTGCCTTCGAGTCAAGCATGACTCATAGGGACCTTATGAAGAAAAGGCCTGAAGCCCCTGTACAACTATAGACATTTGCTAAAGTTCATAGTTTCCAGAGGTATGTTGTTTAGGAAGTAGAAAGAGAGAAAAATGAACCCTGTGCAATAGACCGCTTCCCAGAGGCCGTACACGCCCACCAGTGGAGCTGCACGGTCCCGTGCTGCTGAGCAGGTCTGAACAGAGCTTTCGGGGTGCGACGGAGCAGAGAGAAGGCCTAGTCATGCACGTCCAAAACTGGGCGACTGCTGTCGGGTGCTGTCAAGTCAGCTCTGTACACAGCACAGCGAACACCGCCTGCTCCTTCAGCCTCTGTCCGTGTGCGAACCCACTGTGACAGCCACTGTGTCAACCTATCACATGGAGCAGCTTCCTCTTTTTTATGTTTTGTATGTGTATAAATTTATTTTAAAATATAACAATTGCAATGACATCAATGATTTATCATCTGGTCTTTTTCCGCTACTGCTTTGGGGGAAAGATCTTTTATTATATGTTGTCCCAAAGGAAAATCAAGACATTATTATCAGGCATCCACCCAAGAGCCAAAAAATGTTATTAGTCCAGTGGTCTAGACAATGACATGTTCAGAAGTGTAAATACAGTATATATATCCATTGATAACAGATTCATCCTGGAGAGCGTTAAACCAGGCTACTCCTTGGAGGCAAGGATTCTGGGGCTTCGTCTAACATACTTTGGACATGTTGTAAGGAGAGGCAGGTTCTTGGAGAGGGACATCATGCTTGGGAGGATGGAGGGACAGCGCAGGAGGGGAAGGCCCTCTATGAGGTGGACTGATTCAGTGACTGGGATAATTAGGATGGGAGTGTCGGAGACAGTGTGATTGGCACAGAATAGAGCAGGGTTTAGGGCTGTTGTACATAGGGTCGCTATCAGTCGCAAACAACTCAATGGCACATAACAACAACAACAACAAGACCATTCTTGTAAAAATAGAAGGATAACTAGTAAAAGGTGTCCAGGAACTCAAGACTGGGGAGCAGAGGGGTGAGGATAGGCGGGGGTGACACCACAGGACTGCACAGTTTGGTGAGTGGAGGTGGCAGGGAAAGCAAACGGGAAGGATCTGGGCAAAAAGACAGGGTAATGATGAACAAGGTCCAATGGTGACTAATTTTACAAAACATGCTGCATGAAAATGATTGTATGAAACACAATGTGAACGAAGAATAGTGTGAAAGACAATGAATATAAACTTTGTAAGGAATTTAAGAAATGTAAAATAGAAGGTATATAAATGATTGCATGAAATACAATGTAAATGAAAGGTTGTCTAAAACACACTGTATATGAATAAAACAATTTAAAGGAATTATATGAAAATCAATTAAAATATTTAAATACACACACACATTGACATTTACCCTGAAAAAAAAAAAAAAGCTTTCAAGAGGAATTATTGTACATTAAACCAGTTATTCTCCAGTCATCCTTATGCTTGACAGTCAAGTCATCTCTGTAGTTACAGACAAATGAATAAAGGAACTTCCAGAAACAAAAGGGATAAAACCAAACCCCCAACGCCCTACTTTGTGGGATACTATGGTATGCCAAAAGGGCCACAGTAAAGGGGTCAAGAGTTCTCTGAAATGCAAGGATAAAATAACTGAAGCATTCAGTGTCAAACGAAGACCCCAAATTCACCCCATCCTTCAAAAAAGAAAAAAATATCAAGAACAGGGTGAGGGTGACAGTATTCTGTACAAACTTACAGACACAAATCAATAGTATTTAAGAATTGTTCTTGGCTTAAGCACTAGAGAGTATGTCTGAGGACTTTCGGAATTTGGCGTTTTAAAGGTGCCTGACACTAACCAAAAGACAGAAATTTCTAATTCTTTGTTTATATATTCCATACAAAAAGAGGGGAGGGAGAAGTATACTGAAAAAACATCCAGAGCCGACCCTTTGTAGTGAGCCTAGAGAATGGCCGGCCCCCCTGACATCTAGAAGCCTGGACAGAGGACCAGATTCCCAAACTAGAAAGCTCTTTCACTTCCTGGTGTTTGCACAGCTCTGTCCCTCTACATGTACCATTGGAATACCCCCCCCCCCGTAACATTCTTTTAAAGTCTTTATCTACAATGAGTGAAGTCAGAAGTCAACCTTTAGTCTTGGTATTCTTAAGTCAACCTTAATGCTTGTTCTTCAGAAGAACTGACTTTAAGTTCTTTGCTCCAGAGACTCAGTAACTTCCCTGGAGGTATCATCTTCGTTCTCTCAAGTTTTCAGAGATGAAATAAATTTCCAACGCACAACCCATTCTGGAAACTACAGCTCAGTTGCTGACCTCTAAGAGTTGTTATTTGCAGTCTGTAGTTTGTTTCTAAGAAACTGAAGAGAACTTGAAGCACTTGCTGCAGAAGGCCAAGGACTGCAGCCTTCAATATGGATTAAAGCTCAACAGCAAGAAAACAAAGATTCTCACTACTGGGCTAATTGGCAGCATCATGACAATGGTGAGGATTGTTAACAGTTTAATTTGCTTGGCTCCACAATCAACACTCTTGGTATCAGCAGCCAGGAAATCAAGAGACAAGCTGCATTGGGAGAGTGAGTTGCCAGGACCTCTCCAGAGTACTGAAGAGCAATGATGTCAGGCTGGAGACTAATGTGTGCCTGATCCAGGTCATAGTCTTCACAGTTGCATGCCATTTGTCAGAGAGCTGGACAATGACTAGGGATGATAGACAGAGAATTGATGCCTTTGAGCTGTGGTGCTGAAGAAGAGTACTGAATAAATATGCCATGGACTGCTAAGAGAACAAACAGGTTAATCCTGGAGAGGGTGAAACCAGGCTGCTCCTTGGAGACAAAGATTATGAAAATTCATCTGACATACTTTGGGCACGTTGCAAGGAGAGACCAGACCTTGGAGAGGGACATTATGTTTGAGAGAGTGGAGGAAAAGCACAAGAGAGGAAGACCTTAAATGAGATGGATTGATTCAGTGATTGGGGTAATGGAAGTAGGTGTGACAGAGACAATAAGGTTGGCACAGGATAGAGCAGGGTTTAGGACTCTTGTACATAGGGTCACTGTGAGTCGCAAGTGACTCAACAGCACATAATAACAACACAACAGTTTGTTTCTATAGTGCAGGGTGTAAGGTCTACACAGAGGAAAAACAGCAGCTGCCAGGGGAAGAATGAAAATCTTTGCTCTGTTAGGCCAGTGCAAAATGCTACAGGAATGAAGCCAAGATGCACCACAAACTTGGCATGTAACCTGGAATACTAAGTGACAGAATCCGCGTTACAGCTGTGTTCTCCCGAGAGTCACACGGCAGCTCTTGCTGGGTGTATGGGAACACACAGTTGTTTAAGGATGGGGGCTCATGACAATTTTTGCAAAATGCAGTGTATTTGCCAACACATAATAAAATGTTATCCTTTACATACTCACTGATAAGAAATGGTCACTTGGACAAAGGAATCATAAGCTAATAAACAACTAGCAAATAAAT